ACTTCATATCCTCCTTAGAAAACATAGTAGCCCCTAAAGGATAAGAGGAATTAGGAGAAGAGGATGTCCTTGTGAAGGTGTAGTGATGTCACAACATAGACAGCTGCAAGTTTTATAGCAGGAGCACCCTTTGGAGTTTGTCCCTGACGAGCAAGCGTGTGGCAATTGAGGATTATATGACCATAACCTTTTATATAAAAACATCATCCTTCTTGAAATGAGCATAGACATGTTTAGGTTTCTTGCAAATATGACAAACCACACAAAAGGAGAAGTAGACTGCAACTTAAGGCGAGACATGGTAGCAACATAGGCAGAAGGCTTATCCGTTAGTGAACCCTAAGAATCAATATTAGTCAGAAATTTTAGCCTTGTCTCTTCAGGGATTAGTTCCTCATAAATCTCATTCATAGTGGTGATGTTGCAGTGGATTGAAGAGGCACAGATAGACTCAAATCCTTTGCAAAGCTTCATATTTAATTGTAAAGCACGCGAACGAGCACTCTTTGCAACTATCTCAAGAGTAAGAGCACCCTTAGTTGGAGAGGCTAATAGGATATTGTAATTTCTATAGAGTTTAAGAGCATCCTAATAAAAGAATGAATGCCTTGGTCACCCTGTTCCAAATTGAAAAGTTCATATTCAAGCTCGCATCGATAACAAACTTTGGTCTGGGAGAAGGTAGTACATAGATGCTTACACATAGTTGCAACTATATCAAATGCAAGAAAACTCAATATCGTCGGAGGAATCATAGTGACCAAGTTATAGGTGACAAAATAGGCGCATTAGCCTCCTTGTCAGTTCATTTGGATCACATCAACTTCTAGACACTCAGAAGTTCCATTCAACAACGACAAGAGACATGTAACTAGGATAAAGGTTAGAAACTGAATTTCCAAAAGGAAAATTTCTTCTTGTCGAATTTAGTGATAACACTATCCATCTTCCCATGTATATAAGTAGACCAGAAACCCACAAGAAGCAAAAACACCAGAAACCTAAAAATTAGTAGGAAGAGAGACATAGAACAACATGTGACAAGCGCAGGAGCAAGAGCTAGCGAGCAGATCGAACAATGACAACTAAGCTAGGGCACAAGCTAACATGAAGAGAAACCAATAGATTAAAGTGAGGACATTATATCATGCATGATAAGATTCAAAAGCAAGAAATTAAAGGAACAAAAATACGAGTTTATTGTAATATCCCTAAGTATCTGAACTCTTGATCTTGACCATCCAAATATCTGAAGGCCCATCATTACCAAAAGGCTTTCTCATTAATGGGAAACAAATAATATAGGTGTATGAAATTCATGTGTACTAGATGATGAGTAGGACCCAAAACAAACCACCAGAGAAAAGCCTTATTAGTAATGACACATATAATCCAAAATCCTCCCCAAACTGATTTATTCTTTCAGTGGATGTGATATAGTTAGTGGTTCCAGTCAAAAAGCTTGTATCTTTTGTTTGCCTAAAAAGACATACAAAGGTGCCACCAAATAATTTTTGAACAAACAAAGAATTATTCCATTCCCCTGCAGGCAAAAGAATTAAAATTGCTAGAAAAGCAGCAGTGTTTGAATGAAAGTAGAGAATCAATAAGTTGCTTTGAACACACCCTAGCTACCCTAACTAAGAAACCTTTTTTCCTGTACACTCTCCTTTCTCACCATTATATAACGGTTATTCTTTCATTTTTTTTTTAATCACAGAATAACTGTAACAAAAAGCCGTCCATCCATAAAGGGTGAGATATATAGAGAGAACCAATTAGTTGAGTGCTAAATCAATCTCTGTGTTTGGGGCCTTGGGCACAAAAAGGAGTGTAAGCAAAGTGAAAGCAAGAGAGAGGAAGGTTATATGTTTATCTTTTATATGGGAACTCGTCATATACATATGAGGTTATCCGTCTCATGAATATTTTATGAATTCATAAGAATGAACAAACACTTCATGTTTATGAATTTGTTAGTCGTATTCGATGAATATTTTCCATAATAATAAACAACAAGAATTAAAGATGAAAATATATTGTTTCAATTGATGTCTTACTACTTCAGTCTATGAGAAATGTGATGTATATCTTTTATCTTCTTTCACTGTCAAATCCTTTATTTTTCTTTTTGCCCTGAAAAAACACAATGCGTTTTGAGACCTTTGCTCTGGTGATGGGTTTTCCATTTTGTTTTTCCTTCTTCTTACTTTCTTTCCTTCCATTCTACCCTCCTTTCTCTTTTGGCTTAAAGTAAAGCAATGCAGCACTGTGTTTGTATAGAAAAGCAATACTAAAAGCAAAATATGGCATTATCTACTCAAAAGTGCCGCTCATTTTTCTGCTTTTGAGCTTCAAATTGAGCATCTTGGGTTGTTATACGTGGCCATGTGGTGCTTGAAGAGGCAAAAATATATTCATCAGCAAGAAGGATCAACAAACATACCAAAAAGGCAAAAACTCCCTCTAGTCTATAGAAACACTACAACATCAGGTATTGGCTATAAGCTAATGGGTAGGAACTGGAGGAATTCACAAGGTGGCCATATTTCGAGACCATTTAATTCGATTTTTATTTTATTCTAAGTAATGCAATATCTTTGGGGTGTCGATTTAGTTCTCTCCTTGTATTCATTTCCTACATCTTTTATCAGTATCAATAAATCTAAATAATTATTCATTATCGTTTGGAAGTGTTGTTGTAATGCAGGACTTGAGAAAAATTCTCAGAAATTTTGGGATTTGGTCAAACAAATATCATATTTGGATGGGAAAAAGTAAAAATTGAAACAATACCTATGATATTTTCAAAAATCTAGAAATGTGGTAGAGTGAAATAGCTAGGTTGGTATGTTGAAAATGTTGGGTTATTTCTTTTTGTCATTGCCCAATCTATGCTTCCAAATTTTATTTACATAAAAAATTACCCTTGCTTTTCTCCTCTGGAAATTCTCAAATTCGCATTTATCTTTTGCCAGCACACGGATGAACTGTAGACTTGTATATCCTCAAAGTTAAATAGAAATATAAAATCAATAATTATATTTTTTTTTTTGGATATATACCACATACCAAATTGCTGGTATTTGCAATGTGATATTCAATTTGAAATATCACATTCTCAAATTCACATCCAAACAACCAATAACTAGCTCACAAGAATGTAGCTCAAACGGAGTTGAATTCACCCTATGAAGATTTTAGATACCACAACCTGATATTTTATAAGATATATACATGGTGACTACAGGATTTGATAAGATATATACATGGTACGGTACCTAACAGTAACTTGGATATTAATTAATTCATGGTCATAAAAAAATATATATGATAGGAAGGCAGATTAGAATGAGGTGTTTAATAATAATGTAATGTGTGTATATTTGCTGGGTGGCCAGGCTTTATTATAAAGGAGGGAAGGAAGGTGTTTCATGGAGGGAGGAAAAAGTTGCTCCAATTTTGACATGACAGCCTTAGCTTTGCTAATGCAAAAGGTGATGGGAATTACGTACCACAAACACTCTTTTCCCAAAAGGTCGCACCTTTCCTTTTATTCTATATTATCACCAATGTTTGCCCTATTTACTTTCTGCTAATTAACACTTGGCTTATTAGCCACTGTGCTGCTTTTCACAAACTAATTGCAATTAAAGATGCTTTGCTTGTTATTCTCCTTTTAGCTCTGAGAAAAAAGCTGCTAGGCAATGAAGAAAGATTCACTCACTCTCGCATCTGCTCCCATTCAGTGCAGTTTCTGCACGTCAGGGAGCATGCACTAGGGCAGACATTATCCAACTATGGACATTAAGGTACGATAGTGACTCAAATACAGCATCTAAATGAAATGATCTAGCAGTCAATTAAGCAAACATTCCACAGGAACACAAACATGAAACATCCAAGCTAGTGATTTCGCCGGACGAGCCTCTAATTTCAATGGACGACAAAAAAAAAAATATCTGAAAGATGGTTCTATCAATTCATAGCAATTCAATATAAAAAGTGTATGCTTCATCCGTTGTTACATATGCCACCAAGAAGGAGCCTCTCCCTCTAATCGAAACACCACTCGTAGTAAGGAACTAGTAAAAAATCGAGAGTGGGCCTACCTCGTGAAAAAACTCATACGCGCGTGTCTTCATTTGATATCAAGCAGAGGAGCAAGCGCACTTCTGATTGCTGATCTTTCTTTGCTAACTTCTTTGAGGATATCCACCAGGTCTAAGTGTCGTTGAGTTAAGTTTTATGACTTGGCATATTAAATTGTAAAATGCCGAATAGGGTAGTTCGTTAATAGCTAAAAGAAGGGTATAATATTGCCATATTTTGTTAATCCGAACTAGATTTGGCAGAATAATTATAAATAAGTTTTGTGGAAGCATGTCACTCCGGCAAAGTATAGGTACTAAAATATACAAACCAATACTTATGTATGTGAAAGTGTGTTAATACTTTTCGGTACTCGAGTATCAAATCTTTAAGACATAAAATGTTTAAGGCTTTATGCACTAAAATCCCTTACAAACCCTGCCAACTGATTTACCCAGCAGCCCAATGTGTTTGGGCTTTATGTTTTGAGTGGATTGGTTGGATTGCGTTGGTGGGATTTTTATAATCATCTGGGCCTGCATTAATCAAGAAATTAAGAAAGGCCCAAAAAGCCTATATCATCATCAGTACACAACAGATCAAATAGGTGAAGAAGGGGCCATGAGGCCCAAGAAGAGAGTGGTGGGTTTATATTTTGCGAACTTATTTTGAATAGACCTGGCAATCAGGTTGGGTTGGGTAATCTCGGGTTGAAAATTTCGGGTTACGGATCTTCACGGGTCGGGTCATGTTGGGTTTGCTTATTTTGGGTCAAATATTGACTCAACCCATCGAGTTTCGGGTCGGGTTTCGAGTCATTTCAGGTTATGAGCGTTCTCAGAAACAATATCAAATATGCTTTATAAATTTTTAAAGAACACAATTGTTTACATATGGGTGACAATAGTTTGCCTAGCACACGTTAATTAACAAATGCTCAACTCCTTCCACGCTAATGAAAAGAAATAAAAATTGCACAAATCGTGAAAAAACGATGACGAAAATAATACTAATAAAATAAACAAATGATGTTTGATTATCTTTACACTTCCAACTTGTCTTTCAAATCCATATGAATTTTTTTTAACATCTCACCAAAGTATGAGAGATTTTATCATTTTGAGAGTGACATATACAATGGAACGGGTCTAGCGGGTCGACCCAAAAACCAACCCTACCCGACCCAAAAACTATGGGTTAATCAGTTTTGGGTCATTCCGGTTTTGGGTTAAAAAAACCTCAATCCACTCTCTATTTTTAAGGCGGGTTCGGGTCAGGTCTAGTTTTGAAGGAAAAGGTTTGGAGCTCGTCATATACATATATACATATACAGTAGAAAGCCAGAGTTACGATACTGCCAACTTACACTTAATCCAGCCAATGGAGCGATGGCAATCACTTTCCCACGTTGACTGCGAAAGGGGTGTTTCTCTGCAAGAAGCAATTTCCCAGAAGTCCCCTGAAAAGGCGATACGGCAAGGAATTCCTGAACCTGCAATGGTCTCAATAAGGTTTGTATTTCTGGTATTATATTTGCATGATAGCTGAAAGTTCATTTTGGTCACCGACCTAATGAAACATCTGACCCAAAGATTGCAGGTTCAACCTGAGGACTGGCTGTGGACTCTTCTGGCAAGGGGTTCTCAATGAACTTTCCGTTGCTGATAAAGGCCTTCAGCTGAACATGCAAAATGAAAGACTGCACCAAAGAAAATTTATGAGTGTTTGAAATGTTTTCTCAGACATGCCCCCTGTACCGATGATTTCAGTAACATATGTAAAATTATGAAAGTGGCCAATTTTGTCCAGCCCGTAGCATGGTGAACATATATAGAACATTTCAATAGCAATACCTTTGGCCCCATGCAGTAGATAAGGGTGTCAGTTCCGTTTCGGTTTAAACAGAAACCTAACTGGTAAGAAGCTTAATGATTTCGGTTCTTTTGTCCCAAACCATTTTTCACCCAACGGTTTTGGTTGGTTTAAACCGAGAAATGGATAAGAAACCAAAAACTGAAAATTGGGGGTACTCTTTGTATCAACCGAAGCCGATAAGGGCTTATCGGTCTATGGTTTTGGTAGACTCAACAGTTTCGAGTTTTGGTTTTTCATGCTTAAAGGTTGGATTAAGCGAAACAAACCAAACCGGCAGCGTAGTAGTAGGTAAGAGCTATAGAGAGAGAAAAACCTTCGCAACATCCACCATTCTTTGTCAAGCAGCATAACTGGTGGAATCACCTTGCAATCGACCTGCAATCATTTCAGTCCACATTCCACAATAACGACAATGAAGAAGAAACTCTCAAATCAGCGAGAACAAAATTAGCTTGATTCAATTACATGCTTACAAATAAATGTGTCTTGATCGTACCGTTAGTTTGCTGACAGACAGCAAGCTCCAGTAGGAAAAGCGGGTCTTTGGATATAGATGATTCCTCAAGGGCTATAGAATCATCACAAAAGGAGGGGGAAAAACATTACATTATTCCCTTAATGTAATTTCATATGGAACGTTGTATTGAGAATAATAAATGTCTTGTGGGGTATTCATACAAAATGGCTGCCAATGATGTTTAAAAAAAAGGCAACTCTTGCTCAAGCATCCAACTGAAAGTCATATAGCATAAACTCATACGTGCTGTGCAACTGTTCCACGACCCTCTGAGAGTAAGAAGATGGTCATACCAGCATCCATCAAGTTCCTTTTGAAGAAGATCACAACTCCGCTCACTTGAGTTCTGCCAACGGGGACTAGAAAATATAAAACTAAATCAACATTTTTATATAAAACGCATCTTCCAGTACAGGACTAAATATAAGCTCGTCGAAGGAAGTACTAGTTTAGTTTATCACTCTGGTAGTCAACTAAGAATAAAGAACAACTCCTGCATGATGAAGAGGCCATCTCTTGAAGGAATTCATGTCTGTCAGATTTCACATAGCAAATGGATGCTGTGAAGCACTAAAACAAACAAGACACAATCATCTTGCAATAACAGAATACTGGAATCGGATCCTAGTTGCTCTACAATAAATAACATGGTGAGGCATGTGAGAGTTTCCAGAAAAAAAGAGGAAAATATGAAATGGTGAAGGAGCTATTTCACATATCTGGACAGCTACATGGTTCACTATTTCATCTACTTTGAAATGTCACCATTCTAATACGAGAAAATATCCTTCCATGAAACCCGAATAGTTACCTTGAATAGCTGAAGATTGTGAGTACATTGCCTTGAGATATCAGTAGCTTATGCAGGAACCATCCTGTATAACCTTGCACCAATGCTGGCATTGATGATTCACTCGTTAAAATTTTCAACAATGCATTGAACATCTGCAGAACAAATGATGTAATGAGACCCCTGAACACTATTATAAAGCTTCACAATGGATGTTACACCAACCACATTAGGTTAACAGTGGCAGTGTACCCTTACACCAAAATAACGATGCACAGAGCTGAAAGACTGAAACTAGATTATCAAAACCGAGGCCTTGCAGAATTTAAACAAAAAGAAACATGCCGCTCCTTTATGGGATACTGTTCATAAATTCTTCAGTGATGCTGACAGTCCTAAGTTGACAACCTAAGATGTCATTATTCTGAAAATTGGTTCTTTGATGGTTAATCTCTTACTCAATAAATTGATAATCTCAAGTGTCCTTAGAGATACACTTTACCAATAATTTTATGAAATCAATTAATCATGGTGGGGATTGGGAAAGTAGGAATAGAACTCTGGATAACCTATAGTATGTTTAGTTTTTTACGGTCTAAAACAAGATTCTAAGAAAAAAAAATTATTTCTCATATTACTGGAAAGACGTAAGTCAATCTCATCTGTATATGGAGGCATAAGGAAAAAGTATTCAGAAACTATAAATTGAAGAGCACGCTTGGTGCTTACCATCCCCTGCCTTGAAGAGAAAAATTCAGAAATCAAAGCCACAAAATACTCGTCCCCTGAAATACCAAATGAACATCAAGGATCAAACCTAACATAGAGGAAAGGTCGAAAGAGAAACTTTTTGTATAAGTTGTCTAAGCCTATCAGGTCCTAGTAGAGTGTACCTTCATTCTTTGCTAAAGTAAGCAAAAAAAACAAAGATGCTAGTATGGCACAGCAATCTTCAGACTCTGCAAATAGAAGTATTCCACTCCTGCAGCATGCAAGATTCCATAGTAAGCTTTCTTTCCCTTTACGAATGGTGTGTCTTTAATTATTAAGTAGAGAAAAGAAGCATAAGCTATGTACTTCATAGGTGGGAAACAAGAAGGAGCTAATTGCTCTATGCTCACTCAATTTCCTTGTTAGACATTATCAGAGATCCTATACGCCTTAAACACTGAACATTGTCCCTTCAACATCTGACAATAGTCCATTAAGTACCATCCCAACAGAATAACTATACTCAATGTGCCTACTTGATCCAATTCACGCAATTTTATAATAAATTTTACACACTCAAAGTTACTACTGAACAAGTTTGGTTCCTTTTTTCCTCATTTTTAGAAGTCATCCTAAATATGTTGAAACAAAAGCAGTCACCGCTCATGCACAGGAAAAGGAATTGCATTTAGGATTGTGCAACATGAAAGCACGTGTATTTCCAACTAGACTAAAAGAAAACAAAAGTTGTTCCTCATATATATGAAACTCTTTCACATTAATGATACAGTGAATGCATAAAGATCAACAAACCTCTCCGGAATCAAAGTATCCTCAACTGGCCATCTAACAGGATCAAAGTGAGAAATGGTGTCTGAGAAGTAACGATGATAAAGGTTCCCACTTATGTTATCCAGACCTCCTGATTGACCAGGAAATATCAGTCTTGTAGGGTCTTTCAACTCTGAACCGGTGCTATTGACAAACAATCCACTAGCATCTAAAGTAGGTGTAGATACAAAAGGATGTAGAATGGTTGCAGCCACAACACGAGATATCTCCCTTGCATCAACTACTTGAATAATACGAGAAATTACGTACTAGGAAGTTACTACAGATAAATTGGAGCCCTGCAGCAAAATTGCAACACAAAGGACTAGTACCTCATTTAGATATTCTTTGAAGAATGTCTACATGATCCGCACAAGGTATCACAAATTCCTACAAGAATCCTAGAAGAAATATAAGCGCGAAAAGTATGAAAATTAGGAAACAAGATAAATTTAGTATACTGAACCACAGAGTAATCTGACAAATATTCAAATCTAAAGACCCTTTAGCTTGCTTATAGTCTAGCCCTGTGAAAAGTAAGAGTAAATGTAACTACAGAAGAAATTGGGAAGAAGACAGCTCACATCACTCTGTTGTGTCTTGAGAAGTCGACGAAGTATCGGAAAGATAAGAAAATTCAGAAGACTCAAGGCAACAGCTTCACTTAGACAAGATTCACCCACTGAGATAATATCCTTGAGGTGGTAAATCTCATCCACAATTTTATCAGCTTCCAGAAGCAACTCCTTCCATCCATGATCAGTAAACCGTTCTCTGCATCAAAGAGTCAACAGTTTCTAGTGACTCTTGGGACTTTACTGAATCATGAATGTACTCTTCCATAAAGATAAAATCTAAGTAGTTTCAGGGGGGAAACATAGTAACTTCAATGCATGAACATGGCCATCAAGATGGCTGCATTGCTCTTTCAATCTCCAGACTAAGTTTGAGAAGTAATCAGAGACCGGAGGAGTTGACAAAAACTGAAGAACCATGTCATCACTAACTACAAGAGCAAACAACCACACTGTTCAACCTTAGTATTGTCCTGTTGTGGGTGAAAAGCAATTACGAAGATGTACCTTTGTACAGGTTCAGCGTTATTGCGCGTACAGCTGTCTGAATCATCCTTTCACTATGCTGGGAAAATTTAAGAGCGGCACTATACAACGGGAAGGAAACTACAGTATCCTGTAACCAGAGAACGACATAACCAATAATTGTAAGGAAAGATATAGAGAAAACGGCAACAGAAGCAAAAACATATGTGAGTTGGGATGAACAAGGAAGCACCCATTTTTCTAAGTTGCACTATATATGTACATTCAAAATATGTATACACAAATTAGCATTTTCCAAGTAATCACATGGAACTATGAAGAGACACACTAGCCCAAGATTCTTAGGTTCTTCCAAAACAGTAACAGAGTTACTATGAGTACTTCTGTTGAGAAACTACTAGCTCAGTTATGAAAGGTTTCTGAATTCTCGAACTCAGTTGTCTCTATTGTAACAGAAAGAAAGTTTACAAACGTCAGCATCCTCAGTGCAACACATAGACCACTGATGCATCAAAATGTACTTACCCCATGAACCTTCACAAGAAGGCTAATAATGCCTATGTTTACTTTGCTGCTTATTGCTCTGCATTAAGAATTTGTGCATATATCAATCATCACATGCATTCCCTTGTCGACTAATAAAAAGTTAGGGAATGATATGTCATATCCACAACCTTAAAAATGAAATATAATATGGATCTAGATCTCCGCAACCAAAGTTGAACGGGTGTGCTATAATGTTGTTGATGTGGTCATTACTGAAACAGTAGTCTGCATTCCAGAATCAGAAGAATCAAGACACATTAGGCCCCACTAATTCCATTAAGAATTCTTGAAATAAAATATAAGTAATAGTTGCCAAGAAACACGAAACTTAAAGTACTCAGAATGACATAAAGAGCTACTATTCATATGAATAAGCTCCTATATCAACTTACAAATTCAATGTTCACTTTCTATGTTCTGTATGAATATGCTAAGATATTGTAGGAATGGAGCTTGGATTCCTGTATCTGTACAGATCCTTAACACCCTGACAAACTCTGCCAAGACTTGATATTCCATAAAACGTCTGCAAAATTAGCCATAGAACTCTCTTTAAGCATTATGCAAGCAGCTACTTCTTGCCAAAAAAAAAAAATGGCCCAAGCAAACAAAAAATAAGAATGTTGTGCTGGAATTCCCTACTCAAAGAGCTGTGGATCTTGACTATCACCACATGAGACGATCTCCACGATAGACTGCACTATATCTACAACCAAATCCTGGAAGTAAAAAGGGTAGAAACAAGATAGATCATACGGTACAGATGAACTTGATTGATGGCAAATTCACTAACTAATAGCTTTAACTCACCCAATTATGGTTATCCACGATTTTGGTCTCTTGTAGTTCACTAATCAAGTACCTACATCGACGGAAATTGAACTACGGATCATGAATCGCAACCCTAATTCCTCCCGAGAATAACCGCTGATCCAGAACTACAAATAGCGCGATATATCTTTGCTAGCCTTGATGGAAATGGTACACCTAACAGTAAAACTGAGAAGGGATAAACGACCAGAAGAAAGGTTACCGGAAATGCGGGACAGAGAATCGATCGTCGGGTCCCCAGAGAGAAAACCACAAGGCGATAGCAGTAGATCCTGCTATTTTTGAAAAATTATTTACTTTTCATTATGTTCTATTCGTTCCAACTATAACAGAGCAGGAGATTGAAAATCAAAATTGATTTTGACCGTTGGAGTCAACGCGCGCTGCGGTATGAAGAAGAAGATCACTTTGTCAAAGCACACCGTTTTGGGCTGAAGTGCTGCGTTCCATTTGTCATCCCTGTTTAACGTTTTCTTCTCTGCCAAGCATGTCCTTTCTTTCTTTTTCAAGTTAAGCAACACAGCAAGAGTGTAAGCTGTGAACATTGTCTTCTTCTGATGTACTAGGACTATTTAAACAACATCTCAATGAGAATCAAAGCAAGCCTTCTAGGGTTTCAAAACCTACCTTTCAACTTCTTTGTTAAACTATGAAAACAGAAAGTGGCAACTTCCTACTATTTTTGAAAACGACAAAATGTTATTTTCACCTATTTTCAACGTCTGTTTTTTCCACAAAATGTTCTAATGTTTTTTCTTTCCCGTTTCTGAACTGTCTTCAACTTCGGTCATTTTCTGGAGTTTTGGACTTTATCTCTAGGGTGCTACTCGGTTCAGTGTCGGTTAACCACTAACCTATATGATGGTTAGCAATTAGCCGATATAAAAAATCTCATACTGATAATGGAACCAATAAGCCTTAGCAGTTAACCGTATATTATCAATATGATTAGTGGTTTGATTGGCGGTTAAGAAATAATCACTAACATACATTCCAACAAGTACGGTTATACCCTATCAACCCAATAGCTTCGATTTTCTTTCACGAAATATAATAAATCGAAGCAATAACCACTAGTAGTTGTAGTTATAGTTAGTAAAATACGCTACGGGAAAGTTACGTATAAAATATATACGGGTATTTTACTTCATCTATAAGCTAATGTTACGTTTAATAGTACGTTAATAGTCATAAATATATTAAATTAATTATGTTAAAAATAATTAAATATATAAATATTTGTAAAGTTGACAAGTTAATTAATTAAATACGGATATTAAACATGTTATACGGGTTATATACGTGTTTAGTACGGGAGCTATCAAATGAATGGGAAAAAATGAAACGACTTGACATTAATCCGAATACGGAAGTTTTAAACGGATAAAGTACGTATGATTACATATACGTGTATTAAACAGAGTATTTACTAACTACTTGTAATACACAAACATAACTTAAAAGTGACAATGAAAAAAGAGTACTAAATATTAAAGACAAACTCCATCATAAGCATTAAACGCAAGCAAGATCATCATTATTTACAAACAATAAAGAACAAAGAAAACTAGGATGTGAGGGGCTCAAGATAGGGTGCATAACCCATGGTTATGTACCCATCAATAACCAAATCTGGACCTTTCATTTAGAAAATCCAGATCTAAGGATGGAGAATTAAAGACCATTTTTATTTTCACTAGCTTTCTTAATTTACTCATATTTTTTTCGTTTTAACTCGAATTTTAATTTTTTTTGCACAGATGGAACGAGTTCATCGTGCTCTACAAAATGAGATCAATTTTCAATATTTTTTGAGGAAAAAAATTCTGGCCTCTCGGTACCAACTGCATACCATATGGTATCTTCTTCGTTTTTAATTCGTTTTTGAAAACGATTGCACAGCAGGGACGAGTTCATTATGATCTATTGGATCTACAAATTTCTGGGTGAACAAATTACAAGACCAAAAAATACCACACAATACCATACAATACCACCCTGGTACGGGGTGGTATTTTATGGTATCTTATGGTATACAATGTTAAAAGTCGTAAATGACAATTAATATACTTCTACTATCATGTATTTAATCATCCTACAGTCTTGGTTTGTTCATACCACCATGGTACGCTTTTCAAACCATAGGTATGCTCTTATTTCAATACCAGTCAATACCATATGGTATAGACTGGTAAAAAATGGCTCAATTTTTTTTGTTCGAAATTTATATCAAAGTGGATATCATTTTGAAGAGCACAATTAATCTGATCTAATTGTGCAAAAAAAATTAAATTTCGACTTAAAACGAGTGAGAAATCGTCCGTCAAAGATTAAGGAGGGGAAAAATTAAAGACTTTTCAGGAGAGAGAGGATGCTGATGTCATGCTGATGTGAGCGGGTTACTCATAGTTACTCACCATAAGGTTACTGACCTGATCCATTCCCGATGTGAGGTTTGATATGTCGACTACAAAGGGGAGTGATAGAGGATTGACTTTTGGATTCTAACTCTTACACATATTTTGCAATAGGTGTGAAATGTGAATTATGCTTGACATTGCGACTATTGCTGGTTTTGAATCTTGAGACTTTTCAATATTGAGGTTTGCCCTAAATTAACCTAGTTAGAAGACTTAAAAAGTCATAGGGATACTGATGACTTGATATATACACATGATTTTGTCAACCATTCTTATACCGTTTGAGTCTCATTTATGGTGTTTAAGCCGATTTCACGCTAGGTTGTTCTTGTTTGTAATATTTCAGGTCCTAGTACATGAATGAAGGTTTGGGCACGAGTTCGGGGTCGATTGGGCGAAGTTGGGACGTTTGGCGAGAAGCTAAGGAAAACACACGGCCATGTAACTTGGCCGTGTGACCCCCCTTTGCGCGGGCAAAGCCACACTACCGTGTGAGGGCCGTTTTTTGCAGTGTGGGATTTCCAGAGAGTTCACACGGGCAGACCATATTTCTACACGGCCGTGCCGTTCTGGCTGTGTAGCGCATTGTGTCACTTTATCAAAACGCCGCGTTTTGGGATTTCACACGAGCAGCTAGGGATTCCACACGGCCGTGTGGTTGTGGAATTCTGGTTTTTAACCCAATTTCGGGTCTTTGAATAGGGGAATCGATTTTCTAGAGCAAAAACAGAGTCCTAGAGAGAGAAAGTGTGAAGAACAAACCCTAGAGGTAATTTTGGAGTTGGGTTTCATCAATCAAGCTTTGATTTCATCCTTGGAGTGAAGATTATCATCCCAGAGTAGATTCTTCCCATTGTTATGAGTATGACTGCTTTGTATTCTGTTTTCCTCTCTCTCTATGGAGTAGAACTCTCTCTCACTTGGGTATGAAGAACCCTAGTTCCATGTGTTAGGGATATTGATTGTAATGACTTTTGGATTGATATATTGTGCGATTATAATCGATTGAAGCCCTCTCGTATAATCGATCCACTACTTTGTAATGGAATTCAATTCCAGTAGTGGAGTTTTGTGTTAGTTGCCTCAGCGTTCTATCCCAGTGAACGCTAGTCATCTGCCGGATAGTCTGTCTGAGAGGGCTTGGTCATCTTAAGAGATTCCAAACTACTGTCGGATCTTCCACAGTTTAATCAACAGTAAATCAACCAAAGGAGATTAAAACTTTGACCTAACTAAGGAGCTAGGGGGACTCATTCCCGAGTGACTCTTCCCTTGCTTAAGAAGTACGAACCATTTCCTGTTTTCTTACTGCTTTTGTTTGCAATCACTCTCACTACACTTAGTCCCGCTAGATAAGTCACGAAGTAGGCAGTATATCTAGACCCCGGGTTGATAAATTGAACTTGCCACTATTCTGCATTTCCATTCTACCATTACACTTGGTCGCAGTTTGGTGTTGTGTTTTAGTGTGCCAAGTTTCTGGCGCCGTTGCCGGGGACCTTAGGTTATTGTAGAAACGTGAATGTCTGTTACTCTAGCTTTTTCTTTACTGCATTCTCTCTCTTCCACCTTTGTACCTTTACGGGTTGTGTTTGCATTCTGTGTGCAGGTAGTGCATGACTCATAGTCAGTCTAGAGAACTACTGCCCTTAGACCACGAGCTTGAACGGACTTGTAGGAACTTCAAGCGAGCTTTAAAGGTGCGACTGGCTGTGGAGGAGGCTCTAGCACAGCTGCACATCAGCTAGGAGGAAGACATGGGTGAGCCACAAAACAATGATGTGGTTGTCCCTGATGAGCACACCATGGAAAATTACTGGACCGCCAGAGCCGCGGACATGAGGTCGCCCATCCAGCACCCTCACGTTCCAGCCAATAACTTCGAGGTGAGCACCTCTGTCATCACCATGTTGTGCGGCTCGGTGGTATTCCGTGGAAAGGAGGGGGAGTGTCCCAGATCGCATCTGCGACGATTCCACGAGCTCATCGATGAGATCAAGATAAATGGGGTCCAACCGATGCTATCCAGCTAAGATACTTCCCATTCACTCTGGAGGGGCAAGCCAATGAGTGGCTGGACACTCGGCCTCCAGGATCGATCACCACGTTCGCCAACCTGGTGGACAAGTTCCTCACCCGCTATCATCCTCCGTCAAAGACGACGGACCTGCAGAAGCAGATTACCCACTTTGCCTAGGAGGAAGATGAAACCATTCGGGATGCTTGGGAAAGATACACCAGTCTTTTCCTGAAGTGTCCCAATCATGGGTTCAATGATGCCTTCATGGTGGGCACCTTCTACAACGCCCTCTTCCCAGAAGGCAAGCAGCTAATTGACTCGGTTTGCGGCGGGAACAGGCTAACCAAGACCCCACCGCAGCTGAATCGACTCTTTGAAGAGATGGCAGAGCAAAGATATGATTGGGGAACTGTCAGGAGACTGAGACGAGCACCAGGTTGGGGTGTGCATGCTGTAGCCACCCAGTCGTCTGAGTTGGTGCAGGTGGTATCTAAGCTGGTCTCAACCATTGATCGTTCTAGATTGGTTTCAGGGACAGGACAGCAGTAGGCAATGCATTGCCAGTGGTAGTTTGCATGTAGGAAAGTCCTTGGTGGATTTAGGCGCTATCATAAACGTACTTCCATAGAAACTGTTTAAGAAGCTAGGCCTAGGTGAACCCAGTAATACTAGGATGAGCATTCAACTTGCTGATAGATCCATTGTGCATCCTAGGGGCATTGTAGAGGACTTGATAGTCGCAGTGGGGCCATTCTCACATCCTGTTGATTTTGTTATTCTTGATATAAATGAGGATGTGGACGTGCCTTTAATACTGGGTAGACCTTTTCTCGCCACCGCCAAGGCGCTTATTGATATGAATGATGGGAAGTTGATTATGAGGGCTGGGGGTGAAGAAATCACCTTCTCTGTTTCTGATAATATGAAACACCCCCAGCTCCATGATGATCTAGATTACTACGATGTGATTGATGATC